AACTTAGCTAGAATTCTTCAATTCTTTCATATCTAAAGAGGACAGCAATCTCTGTTCTATCAGACCGCGCGGTTTGCGCTTTAAATGGTACTTGCTGCCAGCTTGCTTTCCCTGTCTCTCTCCCTTTGAAGCAGACTGGACAGCTTCCTCAAGCTGGCGTTATCACTCCCTCTAACCACTCTTGGCAGGCAATCTAATTCCCCCTGAAAAGGTCACCGCCATTTTAACTGCCTTTCAATCACATTAAGCACGCTGCCGCTCGTGCTCAGAGCGCTGCGCCCGCAGCTCTCCTGACTGAGGTGCGATCGATAAACTGACATCCCACCCCCCACCCCAGCTCCCCAGCCGCCCCTCGCCTCCTTCCCCTCTCCTGGACAAGCTGCCTCCCCGGAACTGACGGGCGAGAGACCAAGTGACAAAATCCTCTCCTCAAATCCGAGGCAGCAGCTAACCTGGCATTTACTAATCTTTGTCCCATCTGTTAAGAAACAGAAGGGTGCAGGCATCCCCCCCCGCCTTCCCTAGACCTACAGAGGCAGCGACTTCACAGGACAGTTTGCTTAGGCACCAGTCCAGACACCTTTGAAGCTGTGTTACAAAGAACAAGCCTCCCTCAAGCTTCCCTCAATGCAATCATTACCGTTATCTCTCCCCCCGTGCTGCTTTTTTTTTTTGCAGTTACGAGTTATGTGTTCCACCCATCGATCCCTGTGTAAGACACTGTTTTAAGTCCTCTTGCCTTTTGACTGTGCTAAGCCGTTTAAGAGATGACAGCAGCTTCTATCAGTGTGAAGCTGATGTGATTCTTTTCAGATAAAGCACTTTTTTTCCACTTCCCCCCCTCCTTTCCCTTCTTTCAAGTAAGAGACATACACACAAAAAGAGACACTGAATCTTTCAAAGAAAAAAAAACCCTTTTGAACTTCCCTCAGGAATTCTTTAAAGGGATAACCTTACAGTGTAAACACTGAGGGTAACGTGCATCCATTCTGGAGAGGAACAGAAGAATTGCTACAAATATGTTGAGCATTAGAAAAAAAAAAAAATCCATCACAGAGGAAGCCACTTGATGCTTTCACTTGTGAAGCCTTGCTGGCATCCTAAACAGAGAAACTCATTAGAGATGGTATGATATAATCCCCTGCAACAATGAGTTTTGGAGAGGGATGATTCAGAGATGTTGGGAGAGAGAGTTACTGAATGTTCAGGTATTTCAAGAGAAATTTTAGTCTTATGACATTGTACTGAGACAGGGAAATATTTGTTTACTGTATCTGTTTAGTTTTTCACTTCGAAGTACAAGCTTAATTTAAACAGAGCTTGGTACTTCATGGTGGTATTCTTCTGCACCCACCCCAAACAGAAACAAGAACTCTCCTACAAACCCCCTACTTCAAGCAGGACTTCTGCTGAAACAAAGTGGTTCCAAACCCTATAAAGCTGCCAATCTTCATTTACACCCTGCATTCCTCCAGTTTTGGTAAGCAAATTAAGTGATAGCAAACGATGCTTTAAGAAGCCAGGAGGAATGCTAGAAGTACCAAATATTTCCTGACAGAAAGCCTTCACTAAACTCAACAATTTCAGAGACAACATACTGATCCCTGCACTTCTCAATTGTGTCATATTCCTCCTTGCTGCCACTGCCTGTTCTTTCCACCTGCTGCCTGAGGTATGCCAAGCTGTGGCAGCCAAGGAGGTGTGCTTTGGCTCTGCTGCACTAGACCTCACTGGGGGTTTGCAGCTGTAACACCAACACAGAAGCCAGAATTCTTTGTCTTCTAAGACAGCCCCTAAGGTTAGAGGAACAAGTTTTCCCTGCAAGTGCTTTGGAAGTAGGAAAGTGTCACCCTAGGAACTGTATAAGTGAGAGTTTTAGCCTGTGATTGCTCTTAACTATGAGACCATCTTCCAGAAAATCTGAACAGGGCTGTTCATTTCCCTGACCTTTCTGTTTTTAAGAAGAAAAACCCCAAGATCTCCCAACCTTACTCCACCTGGGAATCTGTCATGCCCTTTCATAAAACTGGCAGAGAGCATTCCTCATGTTGAGAGTGACTTTGTCCATTAACCAAAAATGATAAAAAGAAGAAGCCAGGACCTGTGTTAAGTCCTGCTCCCCCTCTGCCCAGCTGTGACATCTCCTCAGAGCAACACACCATTAAAACCGAAATTAATGAGACACATGGCCATCTATTTTCCCCTCTGGTTTTATGTATTTCCCCATGTCATCTCTTTAGACACTGGTGACATCCCTGTAGCCTGGCAAGGGCTGTCTGGCATTATAAAAGACCTTTGATTTCCACATCGCTGCAACTTCTCAGCAAAGGGAACAGAGCCAAATGCAAAGCCTCGGGTGACGGGGGTTAACGAGGGCCTTGCCAACTCCAGACAAAGCAGTTTCAAGCATTAGAAAGCATCTACAAAACGTTGTGCTGTGCTTCAGGGCTGTAAATTAAGAATTCTGTCCCTAAAATAAGGCAAGAGCCAACACTGGCAGAGAAAGAAGGTAGTCACCTTAAGATTACCTGAGAGTGCACACAGCAGGCCTGAGTGATGGAGACACCTCTGAATGCCAGCAGTCAGAGACAATATGAGAGCCACAAAAGACAGCATGAAAAAGTGTGATTTGATTAAAAATAAATGCAATCAGCCACCTATGGGAGATCACTCCAGCTCTGCTTTGGCTTTCCAAATTTTACAGCAACTTTTTGTGCAGAGTAGGTAGGTATCCTGCATATACTGCTGGTTATCCCAAAATATTAGGTAGAAAGTTGGTGGCAAAAAGGTTCCCTGTTTAGGGAAGAGGACACTTCTCTAGAGAAGCATGGCAGCTGTTGAATTCAGCTGCCAGCAGAGGTGTGCTCCACAGGAGGAAGGCCAGGTGCTAGGGACCTGCCAGCAGCTCAGGTGGAGTCACTTCTTCAGCAGTGGCTCTGCCACAAAAAGCTGCACAGGGAGGATGTTCCCCACTGCAAATGCTACAGGGATGTTCCTGAGCTTGTGAGCTGATCTACAGACACCTTTTATCCAGCACCACAAAGGGAAGCAGTCAAACCCAAAACCCTTCCCACCAGGGTAATTATGGAGGGGTTTAGAACTGCATGTAGTTGTGCTCTACTTTTCTCCTGGTCTTCCAATCTTTTCCTGGGTCTGTTCATGTAACTCCTGAAGATGCCATGAAGGTCTCAAAAAGAAGAGACAGACCCCATACTTCCTGATGGAAGCAAGGCCATCTCTAAGTATAAACTACAGAACTATCTGTCCATGTGTGTGCAGCCATCTGGCAGAGGTTACAGCACTGGCTGATGCTGGAACCTGTCTAACTTCTGGTGGAGGAAAGCAGATGATCTACAGAACACAAAGTCACATATTTGAAAATTCCTTAAAATAATGAAGAAAATGCAGCAAAGAGCAAATACTTTACATTTACACAGCCTAACCACATCAATTACACACATTTTGTCCATCCGAAGCCTCATATGAAAGAGGGTCTCCATATGACTGAAGCAATAGGAAGGTTCAGGTCACATTTCAGTGAGTTAACTCAAAAACAAGTGGGAACATTAAGGTGAAGATAGCACGATGTCCACACCAAAGGAAGGGGAAGACCATGCTCTCCTCAAATGCAGGTGGTATGGTGGGGGTGAAGGAAGAAACTACTCATGCACAAAAAATGGATGAAATGAACTAAGTAGCCTTTTCTAATCTGGACTAGCAGTGACAACAATAAAGGCACACAGACATCCCAAGCTTTCCTGCGATGGATTGTAGTGTCTATACTACATAGACAAGAGTCCAAGACCTTGCATGATCTCATCAGGCCTCTACCTGGAATCATGTACAGACACAACTCTCCATGGAGCCACGAAAAAGTTAGCTTACAGACACAGGATGCAACAGTGTGAGTTTCCCTGGCTGTCCTTTAAAACCCAAAGAAGCTGTTCCTTCAAGTCTGCGCTCCTAATCATCTGCTCTGCTACAACCCAGATACAATTTAATTTCAGAGGAAGGCAAGAGCAGATCAGGAGTGTCTGGTTGTATCTGAGCACATGGCTGGCTTTTAAGTCCAACTCCCTTATGCAGCAGCTTTTCCCCTTGAGATATTTTAAATTAAAATCCAAGCTGATATAGGAAGAGATCACATCCCATCCTCTTTATTGAACGAAGGGAGCCAGCATTCCCCCTCTCATTAGGCATGCACTACGTGGATTGCTTGTGAGAGACTCTTCTGAGTGCCTGAGGTTCATGCCAACGAACAGTTTAGTAAATCCTCCTCTTTGAGGCCAAAGGGCTTAGTGTAAGAAAGGGGCCAGGTTTCTAGATAAAATTACATTCACCAATAAAGCTCACGAGAGGTCAAATTTTGCCATAACTCACTCCCCCTTCGGTAACTGATTTCCCCGTCACTGGGGAAGGAGTAAAAGAAGAAGGAAAAATAAAATGTGTTTGTCTGAGAGCCCTAAGGGCTTGTAGTGCTGGAGGTGCAGAGCAGGTTCCTGGATTCTCATTTATCAACCTTAAAAGGGATGGAGTGATAAATGCACAACTGGCCCTTTAATATTTTATGCAGGTGCTACAGCGACTTAGCTGTCACCTCCAATACATCACCAGAGGCTGATACACCAGCTTTCGTCACTCCAGGCTGGGAATTTTTACAATTTCATTTCTATTTCCCTCTCTTCACATATTTCCACGTATTTCTTACTATGTGTAAGACACAAAAAGCTATTTTCCCCAAATGATCTAGCCATTCCTACTCATTCCCTCCTCAGACACATTTCTTGAGGAAGAAATAAACGCCACGCTTTTGTTCAGGATTTGGACAAATTCTGACTCTCATCATTCAAGAGAGACAGAAAACACTTTACATTCTGGCAAAGGCTGGTGGTTCCACCCTTTCTGAGAGGCAAAACCCCACATCCCTCCCTTTAAAGACAGGTAATGACGAACTTCCACAGCAGAAAGGTTTACAAGCGCCCCCCAAAACACCGGCGCACCTCGGAATCCTCCCTCCAGGAGGGTCGTGGCCCGTATCCTCTTCTGCCCGCACCACTCGTACTCTTCAAAGCGGTTCCCGTTCTCGTTCTCGATGTCCACAGAGTCATCCTCAGTCATGCATGAACCTTCTCTCTGCACAGGGTAAAGCAGGGGCAGAGTGTTGAGATGTATGAAATAGCTCTTCGGGGTTAACAACTCATGGTGGGACGGAGAAGGAAAGCCAGGTTGTTCCCAGGACAGCTAAGTACGGAGCAGACAGCAGCATCTACTCCCACCCCCATTCCCAGTGACCTAAATCTAGAAGTAAATAGGTGCTGGAAGAAGTTGACAAGCTTAAGATCAAAACAAGTTGCAAGGTTCATAATTTTTACAAGTGGAAATTTAAGCTCTGGTTCCTATAACAATGCTGGTGTTCATTTCAAAACGTACTCCCCCGCCTTGGATGTACAATTCCTCTATCATGTAAACCATAGATTCCTTTGACCCCCAGCAGGAATGTTCTCCTATAGCATATTTTTGGGACATACTGATCAAAGACACCTCTCTTTACACTATGCACCTCTCAGGGCAGCAAGAATGAATTTGTTATCAGCTCTACTGAGGGTTTTTCCTGAGAAACACAAACAGAAAGCCCTATGACACAACTGCCTCCCTCCCGTAGGGCTTGTTTGTCCTTCTTCCTTGCTGTCTTCAGGATAAACAGCAAGAGAATGGTTTAGTTTAAATGCACTTCTTGGAGTAAGATGGTCATGCAACATTTACAAATTCCAGTTTGTTACAAAAGAACGCAACAAAAACTAATTCTAATGTTTTCAAAGGCACAGATCAGAAAGAACTCTTCTTGCTGTGCTACATAGGAAGCTTGAGGTCCTACAAAAGGCTACATAAACTTCAATAGCACCACCTTTACAATCTATAACTTAGACTTCTGCAATAGCAGAAGGGTGCATAAAGTAAAAAAAGTTATTAATGCCACACAGCAGAAAAATCCAGAAGAATCCATCTTCCAAGACAAAGAGAAGTGACTACAAATCTTAAGAGAGACAGTTAGCATTGCCTGCAAGCTCAGCAACGTTAGTTTTTGCCCCACATTAGGTCAACTGCGGACAAAGCTGGGAGTAGGGAGAAGGGAATGGCAGCTGGTGATCCTGCTGCGCCTCTACCTTTGCAAGGCATTGTTCCACATGCCTACTCATCTCCTCCTCGGATCCTGACAGAGGTCGGCTGCAGAGGGGACATACCTGCCCTTCGTCTTGCTTCCTCCGTTTCATTTTTCCAATCCGAGCTGCATGGAGAAACCAGGGAAAGAAAACAAACAAAAAAGGAAGACATGTCAAGTTTGTAGATCCACTCTTCATTTGGTCAGCTTCAAATAACAAACCTTTGGCAGAAATGGTAAGATTTCACACCAGAAAATCCTGTTGCAACTCCCTGTTCTGACCTCTATAAACAGTGCAGAGACTTACTTGGCATTTTTCAGATTAAATCTGTAACATGTGGAGGAGTACTCCCTGATTTCAAAGAGGTAGCTAGGAGAGGGAACATCTGCTGCACATCCCCAGGTAAGTTATTAAAATGGTTACATACTTTCTCTTGGAAGGCCTGAAATTGTTTTCAAAGTTGAGTCATCAAGCCAGTGAATTCTGGTTTGGATTTTGCCTTCTAAGTCTGAGGCCCTTCCACTAACACATCCATTCCCTACAGGATAAAGTAGCACCTGAAAGCCTTGGACAAGGGATCGAACAGTCACCTCCAGGACCACAGAGCCTCCTGTACACCCCAAAAAATTCCTTCCCTCAACACCACAAACAAGTAAGAGCACCATCTTACAAGCATAGCTTCTGGCTCTCTGTTGTTTTATTTCATGAAGACTGGAGGCTACACTGGGCACGCTCTGGGAAACAAACATGTTAGGAATCAGGATGATTAGAAAAAGCAGCCAAGGTAGCCTGTTGCTTAATCCAATATCTGGTTAATTTGAGCCATCGTTTAATGTGATCAAAACATCTGGAACCAAATCATTTGCATTAAAAAGAACTTCTGTCTTTTATTATGATGGCTTTAGGCAGGTATTACTGAATAACTCAATCACTGGCTGCAGGAAAGTCACTGTTTAATTAATAAGGAAGGTCAAAATTCTGAATGAGAGACAAGGAAAAGCCCAAGGAAAGCCCATGTGATAATGAGAGATGACACCACCAAAAAGCTGCATTAGCCAGAAATCTTTACTGACATTGTGAGCACTGCAGCATGCTCTGAAAGCCTTCATGCCTCAACACTGTGGGATCAACAGCTCCCTGCAGCCAACGAGTCAGAGAAAGCTGCTGGAATGCCAGGATGAGAAGGACCAGCATACAGGAAAGTTTCTGTCAACTGTTTTCTGAAGTGCATCAGTTTAAAGCACACACATCACCAAGTGATTTATAAAGTTTCAGCTGAACACATCAATGCAGACCTGAAAGGCCTCTCACAAGGCCTTCTCTTTGGCTTCCCTGGACACAGGACCCTCTGGGTTAGGATATACTTTCCCACAATCCAGAACTAGGAGTACTCATCATGCCCTATACTCTCTGATGCTTCAGCAGTAAGAAAGCTTCAAATTATTCCCTGGGCACTGCTTTTTCTCGCTGAGACAGAGATGTGGGAAAACTACTTGAAAATTCAATCTCCCCATCTCATACAATGAAAAGGATTGTGCAAATGTGACATTCCTAGAATAAGGGACAGCAACTTGAGATCAAAACAAGAATGTTTTTGATATCTGGCACTTTGAACAACAGAGACTCTCAAGTTAACACACACAGCTTTCATCCTTTGTCTAAATTTTATTTGCTGATGCTCCACAACCCTCTCTCATGTTGGGTACACCACACTGACAGCTCCCCAACCCTCTACTGTAGTCAGAGTTAAGCCATGCTCTTTCTGTTTTGTACTTGAGTGCACAAGAGACTTCTGAAGTTCTGGTTTGGTGCATACCTATATCCTCCAGCATGGCTCTTTCGTGTAAGTTAAGGATGCTTTCCTTGCCTCACTAGCTCTGTCGAACCAGCACAAAATTAGGAAGGCTGGAATTAGACATGACTTGACCATTCCCTAGCAAACTGACTGGAGAGAAGCACAGGAACAAAGCCCTCTCTATCCTGACTGCAGACACGAATTTCTCTCACCTCATCATGTTTTCAACCAGGGAAACGTAGGGAAGGAGCAGTTTAATTATGCTGGTAGGACTCCCCATGGTCAAACAATTCAGCTAAGTCAGTCTGCCTGGTGAATTTATTAGTATTTTTAACTTTTTTTTATTGCCATATTCCAGTTCATGCACTGTAGCAGTGACACAAGGAAGAAAACTTGTTTTAGGTCTTCTACTGCTGAATTCCTGGGACCGTTTTGCCAGAACAAGCACCTCATCTGGTGTTGAAATGTTAGTGTAGAGCTGGGAACAGAACCTCGCTCTGCTCCAGCTCCACACAAGACCCAGCAGCCAACCCCTCTCTTGGCTCCTTTAGCTCTGCAGAGAAGCGTCCCTTCAAGCCGCAGCGCCGCAAGTGAAAAAGCCACCGAAAAGAAAGAGGTGTTGAAAACAAATCCCCCTGCCATTTTCATTCTGTGGTCATCAGCAGCGGCAGCGTTGCGCCCACGCAGGCCAAGGGTGCCCCTGGTGACTGCGGGCAGGGAAGGGGAACAAGGCCGTCTGGAAAGCACATGCGAGCAGCGCTGTCCCTGCCCGACACAACGCGCAGCCCGGACATCACTTCCAATCAGCGCCGCGGCGACAGAGAGGCCCCAAAGGCAGGGGGTGATTGTGGCGCTGTCCCGAAGGGGAGCAGCTCAAAAGAACACGCGAGTGAGACCACAGGATTGTTAATTAGTGTTGATAGATGCGATCATTTCTAATTAGCTCACTAATCCCTCTCTCCCCACCCCCCCCACCCCGTGCTCCTGTCGCAGGAGAATGGGAGAGGAAGGGAAGAAAAAAAAGGAAAAAAAGCCATTCCCTCTCGTAACTCAGGAAGATAAAAATACAGACAGCAGAGGACTGGATGCACGAAGAGGACAGAACTCAGGGAAGGAGGCTTTGGCACAAGGCTGACCCATTCTTACCTCTGACTGAACAAAGACTCCATAGTTATTATTCCAACCTTCTGCCAGGAGGTGAGGAGTTCACTAATTTTTATTAGCATTAATAATTATTATTAGGCCATCAGAGGGCTTCCAGCACCTCTGAGGCCTCACTTTTAACAGATGTACATTACCCTACACACTGCTCCTGCTGCAAGTGCATGTTCTCCTTCAGATTACACAAAACCATCAGGCCAGGGAGTTTAAGTCACCACAGCAGATGAATGAGAAAGTAGCTCATGGAGGTGAGCAAGAACTGGGATCCTCTGCAAGAGCCAGGATTTCACCTATGGTCTCTGCCTTACCTTAGGAGTTGTGCTGGCAAAGGGAGTTGCTCTTCCCTTCCCTGATATGGGACTATGGAAGGTGAGAGGGTGCTTGCACTAGAGAAGGAGCCAAACTGCACTTGACAGAGCCTCTACTGTGAGGGAACACTGGTCCCTGCCTTCCCACAGGTGAGGAGAGAAGGAGCCAGCCCACCATTGCTGCCTTATGGGCAGAAGAGTCCGAGGATCTTTTCTCCCCAGCAAGGCTAAACCTTATTAATGCCTGAAGATCATGTTACTCTCAAGCCCAGCACAACTTCCTGTGAGAAAAGCTAATGGATTTCAGTTTTCACTGGTACTCCCTCCCCAAGCAAAAATTCACCTTCAGGACAGGGCACTAATTACCTCAGAAGTGCTCTTACACAGCATCTAGCAGTGGACACTGCACCAACCTCTACTGCAGCATCAAAGGAGATGATTAAGTTACTAGGAATATCTCTTATGATTCCCTCCACCAGTTTGAGTGGTCCCCCGAGTCCTATGCAGACATCATTAGCAGCGCCTGCAATGGCAGGCCAATCAAATTAAGTGGAAACATTTTTGTCTCCTTTCCAGTGAAAATCATCCAGCTTTATTCCTCCCCCACCCATCAGCTACAAAAGCACACGACATGCTGCTGGTGGTTCAACAATAAACTGTGCACTGACCTCCTCCATGGAGGTCTGTTTGGAAAGACAGGCTTAGGGTCACCACCAAAATGGGAATCAGCTTCTCAGGGAAAGGAGCAAAAGCAGCTTTGTAAGGACCCATTTTTCAACTCACCTGAGAATGCCAATTTTGCAAATAGCCCTAAATTTGAATCAAAGATATTCAAGCACAAGAGCCAGCACCTGGTCTCTGGAAATCTACCAGAGAAGTCTTAAGGAGTGGTTATACCTATTTTTGTTAGGCCTATCACCAAAAACTTGTGTGGATGATCAACTTATCCAAAGCATTTTATCTAAGGGAATGAAGGCAGCAATGGCAGAGCACAAAAAGCCATCTCAAGAATAAGAAAAAGCAAGAAAACAGATGGTCAAGAAGAAATCTGTTTCAGACCTTATGTAAAATTTGCTGCTCATCTGCCTGAGAGAGAACACTAAGGGCCAGATTCACAAAAGGGTCTCAGTGGGGCTTTCAGATTTGCATGGCCAAAGTTCCACAGAGATGACTGTCAGCAACCTTCAATCTGACACTACTCTCTGAGGCTGGCACATACTTAACCTGCTGAATCCATGTTCTGATACACTAACCAATAACTTTGTGCCTCTAATACTGAATGACTACTTAACCTGCTCTGCACTGCTAAACTCCATAAGCATCAATTTACAGGGTGGCTTAAAGTTTCCAGTGTGGCAACACTGGAAATAAGGCAAATGAAAGAAATGCCTTTTTTATCACATGGGTTCATCAGGAATCAGCACCTCATACTCCTGGGTTCACAAGGACACAGTCTCTGGATAGTGAGTTTAGCACAGGTGAGAGGTGCAGGATTAACTCACTGAGGCTGACAGGGAAGTTGGGATACAAACACTCAACCAACAGCCTAAAAGACAGAACATTAATCTCCTGCTCCAGAGCTTGAAAATGCATTTGCCTTACTTACAGCTCTATTTAAGTCACAGGTTTGACTTACAGAAATAAAATTCTGGCCAGTCAGGTACATGTGAACCATTTAACTATCAGGACCTAATCATGTTGCAGCCAGGCAAACAGCAGCTCACAGAAGGCATTTCCCTCTCCACCTTCTCCTTCCCTAGCTCCTTTTGCACATTCCCAAATGACTACAACAGCATAGAACACATAAAGGTCCAAACAAGACTCAGGCAAAAACAGCCCAGGCAGCCAAGATTTGGTTCAAGGACTACGTGGGAGAAGAGCAAACACTGTGAGCCCCTTTTTATGGGAGGACTTTCCAAAGTGCTTCTAGAACTCAACTGATAAAAGCTTGACAGGAGATATCAAGATAAACTGGTTACAACAATATTAAAAAGTACATGTAAAACATAAAACCAAATTAAATAGTTCTTTGACAGACAGGCCGCATTTGATAAGTTTCTGCAGTGTGCCAATAAGAACGTGAAACAAAAAGCCAGCTACCTTTGGACAAGTCCTACACAACTTCTGTTCATGTGAGCTAATTGGGACAAGGAAACCACTCTCACAGAGTAAGCTATAAGGTTGTGTGATTGATTAGAAGCTCATTAAAACACAAGATATAGACAAATAAGCTTTTTTTTTCCCCCTAAAGCACTCCAATGTTCTCCATCTTGAGATACTCAACAACTAACAATAATGTGGTAAAACTTACAAATATCATGGAATTATTTTAGTGCAAACAAATGAGGAGGATGAGTGCAGAGATACAAATATAAAGGAGTATAACCTATCCAACCATCCAGCTGAATACTGACCTAACAACACAGGACTGGACCAGGCATCATCACTACAGGTACGTTCTAGGAACAACAGTTATCAGCCACAAAAGGCTAAGGTCAGGAGGAACCAGTTCTGGTCTAGTTTTACCTCCTCTGAGACCCAAAGCACTTCAGCCAAATTTCTGAATCTGGCTTCCTAACACCTGCCCCTCGTACTGTCAGGGTGTACAAGGCATTAGGTAAGTTAACCCAATGTCCTCATTTGGAATATGGCTCTAAGTTTTGCTCACTCTACCCCAAAAGGTACATACAGAAAGAGTAAAAGGTCCAGCAAAGTGCCATATAAAACTACTGGCCTCCCTTCAGGTGAGCCCAGCCTCACAGAAACATCCAAGAACAGGGGCCAAGAGGAGTTCCTAGATCAGATCACAGCCTGCCCAGATTGTGCTGCAGCCCTGCTTCGGGTTAGAGCCCAAAGCCCAAAGCACTGCTGAGCCAGTTCAGCAGGGCACGCTGCCATCAAGAGCTTCTGTTCACAGTGAAGGACTCCACAACACCAAGAATTCCAAAAGTCTGGCTCGGACTTTTAAAAAATATTTAAAATAAGGTAAATGCACATTGTTGGCCTGAAAAAAAGGTGGAAGGTGGGAGCTTAGCCCCAGCTATCCAAAAACAATAAAGGAAGAGCTTGACATCCCTGACTCCAGAGACCTCTGTCACACAGAACAAGTCACCACAGAGCAGCACCTCTGAAGTCTCTGTGTCAGGACAGTGTCCACCTGCCAGTGCTGGCAGCTCACTGCACTCATCTTGGAGTGCAGACACGAGCACACCTGCCAGCAGTCACTGGAACTGATGCAAGGTAACTCACCTCTTTGTTGTATGACTTAACAGACTTGCAAGAGTTCACAGGTTTTTGGCCCTCTGGGTTGATATTTAAAAACCTCCAAGCTAGCTCTGAATTCACTTATGTATAACTTATCACAGATCTGGGTCAGGAGCTTCTGTTTGCTTAAGACTGCACAAAACGTGGAGGACTTAAAATTCAAGCAAACCATTTTGCTATTGGCACACTCTAAAGCCTTTTGTTATTTTGTTAACGTATATCTTCTTCTAAACAAACTCTATTAGCACAACATCACTGGTGTTATCTTTAATTAACAGATCAGGAAGCTCGAGATTAATGAGCCTCCTGATAGCCTGAACAACCAAATTCTGACTAAATGTTACATAGTGAAGGAGCTACAAGCAATATAAAACCAGATGAGAGATTGTTGTTACTGTTTAAATGGTAAGTTCTGACTCTACTGAACTTTGAGAAAAGTTTCAACTCCCTCAGCTGTAAAAAAAAAAAGTTTCCTTTCAGCTTTCTTTTTCCAATTTAGAACCACAGAGATGGAATACCTCTCTCGGAAATGAAGTGAGGTCTGATTTGCTTTTTTAAAATACCAAGATGCTTTCCTCTAGAAATACTTGTTTACTTGCTGTTAGGAGCACACACAGATAGGTACAAGTTAGTACCAGCATCGGTGGGCTTGAGAGAAAAAAAAAAACCAAAGAAAACAAATCATGACGTCAGACGACGCTCAGGCTGCTGGTTTAAAAGTTTACTTCAAGATTCAGCCATGTGAGCTGTGAGAGCTCAGCAGCCGGGCCCCGGAATGAAAACACGGGATCCAGGGCCTGGTTTATCCCGGGCGGTGGAAGCCGCTTCCCCGGGGAGCCCAGGTGGGAGCAGGGATTCTCCCGCACACCCCCCGCGCCCCGTGTGCACGGCGAGGCCGGAGGCGGCCCCCGGCCCGCGGAGGGGCTTGGGCGAGGGGGTCACAGAACTCGGCCCAACTCTGAGAAGTTCCCCGGGCGGGAAAGGGGCGGGGGCCGCACTCACCGTTCAGCCGGGTCTGCCGGTTCGCTCGCACCCGCAGGAAGGTCTGCAGAGGGGACACAAAAGCGGAGAAGCGTCAAGGCCCGGGTGTAAACAACTCGCCCCCCGTCCGTACACAAGGCCCACCCCCGCCCTGCGCATCCCCGGGACAACGCACCGGCCGCGGGCCTCCGCTCCCCCTCAGCACCCACCTCTTCCCGGCCCCCGCCGCCGGGCCCCCTCCTGCCGCTCTGCATAGCCGCGGGCGCCGCGGGCGGGCGGCGGGCCCGGGATGCGGGTGGATGCGGCGCGGCCCGGCGGGCGCCGCCGCTCAGCCCCCGGCGGCCGCCGCCATGTTGGCCCCGGTCATGTGACCCGCCGCGCGCGGGTGAGAGTTCACCCGGCAGTTCCCATGGCAACCGACAGGGGGCGGCAGCGCCTGGCGAGCCCGGCCAATCAGAGCCCCGGGATGGCCGGGACCTGGGGGACTGGCCAATCAGCAACCAGGGCTTACTGGAACACAGGGAGGCCTGGCCAATCAAGAATCGGGGGTGATTGGGACCCTGGGTGCCTGGCCAATCAGGAATCAGAAGCTACTGGAGCCAAAAGGGTCACGACTAACCAGAGCCCGGGGGCAGGTGGCGCCCAGGGGCCGTTGGCCAATCAGATCCTGAGAGCAACTTAGAAGCAGCTTCCCTTGTCCAATAGGGACTGAGTGCCCTTCAGGCCCAACATCACTGGCCAATCAGAGCCTGTAACCCAAAGGCATTGGCCAATCAGGCACCAGGGGCAACACAACCTTCCCTGCCCAATCAGGGCCTGGGGGCCCAAGGGCTCTTGGTGTATTGAGGCTCAAGCAGTAATAAAACCCAAAGGCTCACGGCCAGTGGGCGCCCAGTGGCCCCTGCCCAGCCCTGCCATGGAGCTCAGGGCTGCTCCCAGCCCCTGCCCTGGCTGTGGGAGCAGAGCCCTGGGAAGCAGAGCCTTGTCCTTCCTGGATGTCCCACAGGCTCAGCGCAGGTGGACACAGACACCAGATGGGTCTGCCAGGGCCAGGCTGGGCGGCCACCTCAGGTCCAGCGCTCTGAACCATGCCTGTCCTCCCCACTGCTGCGGGGGCACAGGCGGAGTGCTGCCGCCTCACCCCCGCTTCCCAGCCTCTCCTCACTCTTTTCCTTCCCTTTTCAGCAAACCTCAGCGGTCAAAACTCGTCTTGTGGATTTCTCTCCCTCATCTGCCTCACAGCTGTGGTGGGAGTGGGCCCAGCAGATGAGCCTGCAGTTGGGACAGAGGTGGGGGCTACAAATTGGGCAGCAAAGGCTCCTACACACACAGATCCCATCTGTTCCCCCTCTCTGAACACTCCCCAGACTTTGCTTCTTGGAATCAAACCTGTGTTTCGGGTCTCCGCTCTGGCACCTGACAATTTGCTGCTCCCTCTTCAGATGGAAAACAAAACCCCTCCGATATGTTTCTCTGTCCCAGGAGCTGATGGCCAGCCAGCCAGGTCAGGTGCTGGCTGGTGATCTTCACCCAGTCCTGACCCCACGTCCTACATCCCGGCTCTGCCTGCCCACGGAACTCGCAGTTGGATTTTCATACACACACGCACTCGCAAATCCAAAGCTGCCAGTTGGTTTTACCCTGTTAATGAATTTAGCTGTCTTTCGGGAGTCATGCTCACTGCTGAGCTGGGGGGAGGGAGATGAGCCTTCCCTGGACAAGGATTTTAGGCTTTCAGTTGTGCTACACTTGTTTTTAGTCACCAATATCCCGTGGGTTCAGCTGACCCAGGCAAGGGGGTCTCTCTCCAAGCCTGAAATGTCATCTTCGCAAGTACGATGTATCGCTTGTAATTTGCTGTTGATTTTTCCATTGGGGACTCAGGGTTTTATATAAATACTTCTAAAATGGCTTTATTTTTACTCGCAGTGCAGGAAAAGCCCTGTCTGACAGAACATACTGTATTTAGGAGGAGCAGCCACTATGGACCAAATTGCAAGGTCCTGCACTACATCGGCTGTCACCACCTTGGTCCAATCAGTGTCCATGTACCAAACTCCAGCAGCCAGGCTTGGCACAGAGGAGCCAAGAGGATCCCCCCTCCCGCCATCCAGGAGCCACCCCACTGCCTCCACTGCAGCTCCCTCTCTGCATGTGGAGCAATGCAAGGAGCCCAAGTGCTCTGCAAGCCCGTGTTCCTGTAGCACTCCTATTTGTAAATCTCCTTCTTCCCTAAATATCCCCATGGTATATAAATATGAAGACTAAAAAAAAACGGAGCCGCAGGAATTCTGGAAACATAAATGCCAACAGCTCACGTTCTAGCATGTTACTAATATGCTGTATAATCTCGATTAGATCACAAATAACACAGGGGACATTCATAATTCCAGCACATCTCTACATATACGAAGCTAAATTTTGCAGCCTTTAAAGTCACCACCATGAGAGTCTTCTGCTCTGCTTCCTGGGCATTTCTCTTGGTAAGCCAGGCAGACTGAATACTCATTCATATTGTGGCTTTATTAAGGATTACATCGAGGCTTTACACACTCCTGGCACCCACCCTGAGGTCCCTTGACACTGCCAGCGCAGCATAACGCAGCCAGCACAAGCACAAATGAAAATCAGGCCCCAGAGGTGTTTTCTCCCTGCAGTGCAGACTTAAAACTCCCATTACACATTTGCATTAAGGGCTGCAGCCCTCCATAAAATGCGCTTACGAACTTAAAGCACATTGGAGAGTAGCTGGACTCAGCATATAGAGGGGCTTCTGCTGAGAATATTCGTCCTCCAGAATGACATAATAAAAATGTACAGGAACAGAGGACTGCAAGGGGCCACCAATTTCACAGAGACTCATGTCTGGCGGAGTGGGAAAGGAGGGGTGTTCTCTGACAAAGGGAGCCATGGCAAAAGTCTCTTCCATGCCCTTTCGAAAAGAACGTAATTTATTTATTAGCCTTAATAAACAAGGCAGGAAAGAGAGCAGGATTACCTGGATCAGGCATTTCTGTATCTTCTGCAGGGTTTTGCTCCTCTTACTTTGACCAGGCCTTATTGTTCACAGGAGGGTAAAGTGGCTGGGATGTGACACCAAGTTATGACTGAAAGCCACACGGGAATACGTAGCAAGCAATGGAGAATCTGGTCCACAATTGATAATATCACCAATAAATAGGACAGATGATGGAATAATGGGTAACAAATGTACCAATCTGCTACTAACAGGACCTATCTTCAGGAACACCTGTTGTAAGTGGGTCTGCTCAGCTAAGAGCCCCAAAAGTGGTCATCAGCCTCTCTCTGCCAAATAAAGACTTGGCACGTGCAAAGTGGCTGATGCAGGAAGATGTGACCACCTGCCTGACCCTGGGCACTGGGTATGGGTATGCAGAGCACACAGGATGCAGGGTAATGGGTGTTTGTCATGCTGGTACAGCCTCGGCCCACCCGGCCTGTCCACACAGCGGGGTCTGTGCTGATGACCTCCACTAATTTATCTGCTGCCTTTCAGAGCTTATTGAAGCCAGTGGCTGAGCACAGGATTGCAGCCAAACGGTTTGGATGTGAGCCGAGTTAGAGTCAAGTGCACCAGCCTGCCCCAAAAATACAGACTGACTTACAACCAGCCAAGGTGTACTTGTGCTGCTGCCTTTCTCTTCTTTTCTTGCTCCATCTCCCTCAATTTTTATTTGTTTCATCGCAAGTCAGGACCTGCTGCTCCTCTGGGCAGAGTGTTTTATAAAACAAGGTGACATGGCTGTGGATGATCCAAAACCATTGTTTTGGATGCAAGTCATGAGTCAGTTTGCTGGGCAGTGGCACACCAGTGAAATGGAGAACTTTGGCCTGCTGCAGACTAACATCATTCACTCTTTACAAAAAAAAAAAAGTTGCTTCTCTGAAAGTTTCTCAATGGCATGGGGTGGGTAATGATAAACATAGCCAGGGAAATTACTGAGATGATGAATATAATGTAACAGAAACCTCTGTTTAGATGGTTTTGTACAGCTGTGGTTTCAAGCTGGAGCTGGGATGACTGTGAAGACAGAAACACACGCTCACAGCCCTGTGAGGGACCAAGTGCTCATGTCCCCATGCTGCAGGCAGGGAAGCTGGTGCAGTGATGTACAGCCAAGAGCAGAGCTCTCACACAGAGAGCTGTGGGCACTGGGGCGAGCTGGCTCCCTGCCTAAGGCTGAGACCAGCAACGGCATCCACCCCCTTACCTGGTATCTGTCCGAGTGATGGATGTCATCTGAGGAGTGGGGTGACGCTGTTGGAGAATCTCCTTCCCGCTTGATTGAGGCCGACAACAAAATTGACTGCAAGAGAAAGGAGAAATTCATGCTGTGAGCATTGCCAAGCTCTCTGTCTCTAAGCTGTCCTCAAAGCCACAGAGAGCGTCTGCCAGGCTATGGGACTGCACTGGGATGGAATCCTGGGCTGTGGGGCTGGCTCTGGTCTTCCCAGTGGACTCTGCCCCACAAGGGAATCAGGCTGCTGGGTCTAGCAAAGCACAAACGAATCAGGCAACAAAGGGACGGTCATTTTTCTCGCAGGTCTGGTGGCTGGGGCAGAATCAGTCCCTGCTGGAAATGATACTTGAGGACACCACCAGAAATTCGTGTGCTGAGGTGGAGCAGTGCTTCCGTGTCCTTGTCCACCCCTTTTAAGTGCCACTAAATCTCTCAATGGCTTTGTAAACTACACTAAAGCTCTCAGCACCTTTGCAGTGCAACTACCCTTTCCTTCAGTAATGATGCTATTTATTTTAATAAGTAGCATAGGAAAAAAAAAAAGGGCCTTTTAGAAGGTTAAAAAGCTCAGTGATATTTGAGACCTAAGAAATCACTGATAAACTTCAAGTCAATAGTAGGTAAGTCTAAATTCTACACACAGTGAACTCTAGCAGGAAAATTACTGTGAGAGTTTGACAGCATCTAAAGAAATGTACACTGAGCTGCAAGTGAACTTTATTATTAGAATAGTTTGAGGGAAAAATGCAATTTAAAATTCTAATTTACATTATAAATTAGCTAAACTAGGCTAAATATGGCCCAATACATTGTGAAAAAATGTACACTGGAAATGCAGCTCTCCAGATGTTTGTTTCTGAGAATCAGTTGGCAAGATTTGACAATAAATGACTGCTCGGAGATGTGTGTGTTTGTGAAAGGAAGTGTAGATATCATCTGAATTGGACAGGTCAAGTGTGGTGACAACATTATTAAAAAGCATAATACCTTAGAGAAAGGGAAGTATTTCAGAAACATTTGCCTCTGGGCTTAAATGAAATGTGAAAAAATGTGCATTTTTTGGAAAGGTATGAGCAAGTGGAAAAATGACTCAGCATACAAATTGGTTCAGTCAGCAGGATGCAATCCCCCAGGCTTGGACAGCTCTCCGGTGAGAAAAGCACAGCAGTGCAGTTGGCACGGACATGGAGGGAAGGCAGGCTTGGGATGGAGGTGGAGGAGCGGGATTTGGGATGCTGGGTTCAACCCCCTGGGTATGAGCTGTCAGCACTGCAAGAGTCATGAGGGCAAGAGTCATGTCCTGGTGAGCACTGGAGGTCTCTGCCATAAAGCATGGTCCTACCAGCTGTGGAGAGGTGTGATGTCCTGAAAGGGGTCACAGAGGAATTGTCTGCTGGGGTGCTTTGTTATCTCCTCAGGCACAATCCCTTCTACCAACTGAGGGCTGTGCTGACCACATTTTGGAGCTGGCTCACTCCTCAGCTCAGCCCAGGGATACCGGGCGCTGGGAGGGCCAGTGGGAGCCCACAGGGCTGGGGGCACCCAGTAAGGGCTGCCTCAAGAGACCAGCCCCCACTTCCCAGGGCACAGACAGGCAGAGCAGGGGGGCCCTCTGGCTTCATGTGTTGGCTGAACACAACTGCTGATGGATTTTGGTGAACAGCTCACTCATTTCTGGAGAAGCCCACCGTAGAATTTCCGCAGAGTGCAGACCCCAAGCTCCTGCTGTTGTGCAGTTTCTTTATTTTCTAAATGGAGAATGAGGACCATTTTTGAAGAAGCAGGATTACACATGTCCTATCAAACGGAGGGATGGGGCTCAAAGCCTTCTGCTGTGAATCATAACAACAGCCCTGACTGCAGCAATGGTAATGCCCTTCCCCTCCTCTAATAAGCCAAGCACCCTGGAGCTGGGAGGGTTAAATCTGTTTTGTCTCCCAATGTATTCTAGAGAAGGGGAAAAAATACCCATCTCCCCATTCCTTGAAGACAGACAGACAAACCCTCCCCGCCTCCAGCTCCCCCCTCAGCTTCTGGTAGCTCTAATTCAATATTATTATGTGAAAAATGGTTGGGCTAGCTATGGAGACAGTAAATTAAACGTTATGTATTAGTTTTTAGCGTGTGGTCCCGGGAAGAATGCCGGCCCCATTTATTCCACAAACCTCCTGAGCACCATGGCAATGACCTCTGGAAAAACGCAGGGCTAAACTAATCCCAAAGATGTCAATCTCAAGGCCTCTTCTACATACACTTGCAGTTTAGATTAATAAACTGTCTATTTTTAAATTGTGTGCAAGCACTTCAATTCTAAATACCTCGCCGGCATGTTAAACACAGCGTTAGAGATGCCAAGTCACACTTCCCCTTCACTCTTAGGAAACTTGACTTCATTTGTTTTTCTCATTTCCGTGAGCTGTGCCACACTTTGCCTCTCAGGCAGCCATGGGGGCAGGCAGGGATGCAGGCTCAGAGACTAAGGGATTAGAAAAGGCACTTGCCATCACGGTGACTTTCAATCTTGCATTAGGCCTCTCTGCCATCCCAATTTTGGCCTCTTTTATCCCAATTGTCATGTTGAGGCTGTTTTCCAATTGCTAAGCAGTGAGGATGCCTGACCACGGCACGCCAAGCTAAGGATTTGCTGTCCCTTGCATCCATTCTATTCATTCCCAGACGGATTCAGGCAAGCAGAAAAAAGGCAGCAATTCCCATTCCTCTCTCAACCAGGTTCTGGGAAAGTGGTTGTGGAGGAAAAATGTAGCTTTACATGTGCTCTCCCAGCCCTCAGGCATGCCCATGCTGCAGGGTAGACCCAAATTCTGGCATCCCACCCCAAAAACATGGCGCTGGGTGCTCTGTGTGCAGACAGACAGTGTGCTGTACGGCTCTGTGGAGATGCTCCTAACTTGGGGACCAGCCGCTTCGGCACGGTGCGAACAAGCCTTGATGCTGAGATGTTCCTTTTCACTTGGGGAAAGGCCTCCAGCCAGCTCATCTCTGCCTGACTGCCAGTACATCCCAGCTCCCCTTCAGGGTGTGCCTGAGTGAGGATACTGGGGTGAGAGCACCCTCCTCTCTCCCTGGTCTCCCCTCCACTGTCAAACCACAGCTCCCACCACCAAAGGCAGAGCAAGGGCCTCATGCGAGCAGCGGTGCAGCCTCATATTTCTCCCTCCTCTTTAAATCATCTCTCCATTGGGTAGAGGCACTCTCTGTGGAGGTTATAAACCCTGAGAGGATCAGCCTGAGCATTACACCTGGGGCAAGCTAAATAAAAAAAGGTCACCGGCGCTTTTTAAACATGGACAAAAAAGCAGTAAAATGTGTTTGGAAAAAAAAATCTGGCATTAAATCATGACTTTTTGCCTGGCTTGCCTCATTAAAAGTGGCCTTTTGGAAGGTAAAATTATCATTGTAAGTGATAAGATCTTTAAGAAAATAATTCACGGCTTCTTCACCCTTTAATATGATAGCCGCCACCGGCTAATTTTTTTCTTAATGGCAACGAGGCCATCAATCTTGTCCGAGCCCTGTACTCTCATCTTCCCCCTGCCCCTCCTGCCATGCTGGGCAGCCATGGCCATGCTCAGTGATTCCTTCCCACCCCTTGGAGCACAGCTGTGCCGTGCCAAGGAAAAGAGATACATCTGGATGTATGGCTTTACCTGCTTGTGTCCACGGTTCCCGGCAGGGAGCAGGGACCACATAAGCCTTGCTCACAAGGCGAGGCTCACACCCTTGGCCGCTCCTGGCACGCTCCGTGGACTGTGCAATTCTGTGGCGATGGGCTGCGGTGCCTGCGAGTGTTTCGGCAGCTCAACCGCCACTGGGAACAACACGCGGTTTATATATAAACGCAGGGGCAGGTTTGGGATGAGCCAAATGTGCATCATGCAGCCGGTGTGCCAGCTGCTGTGATCCCAGGCCGCCGATCCCCAGACCTGCTCCTCCCTGCTGGGCTGGAGGAGCCGTGGGCAGCTCCGAGGCAATGTCAGCGAGGACACACGTGCCAAGGCGACACCGGCTCCTGACCCACGGGCGCTCCAGGCGTGGGCCGGGGGCAGCACGAGGGGAGGGGACGGGTGTCAGGGTGCAGCCGCCAGCCCGAGGAAATGGATGGAAATTGCCGGCACACGGCCGCCCCCAGCCCTAAGCGCTGCCTCTGGCGGGCGGCCGGGGCAGGTGTCAGCGCTGGGAGAGCCCAGCCGGTGGCTCTGACATTCTGCTGCCTCTCAAGGCCAGTCATTTGAGAGTATTAAAGTGCCGGAGTCCTGCTTTCTGATAGCCCTGAAAAAACACAAGGAGTCTATTTTTCTTAAACAATCCATCACGGCTGCTGTCAGCAGAACAAATACCCTAACCCTGCTTTTTATGTATCTATATAGCCTTTTTAAATTTTTTTTTTTTTTTTTTTTTGGCACAAAGTGTTCCCTGCTTGATGCATTCAGCTTTAACTCTGCCATCTAAATAGGTACTTATCAGTTAACATGGAGGTGATGGCTTGACATGTTTTCTGTCTCCTGCCCTCCCCTCCACGGTAGGGAAGCCGTCAAAGTGTTGCTAATAGCTGTTATCACTTGGGAACTGTAACCCGAAAGCAATGAGTGATACCAGGCCTTGCTGCGATTTTCTCCCTTAACTCTGCCAGCCATTTTTTATGTTATTGCTGGAGGATCCCCGACACAAAGATGCTGCTATTAGAGCTGAGTTTCACAGAAGCTTTCGGAGGGTCCACATTTGCTACCTGGAAAGTTAGAGGTAAAATTATCTAGTGGCTTTTAGCTGGCAGAGATAAAGGTGGGATGGAGCTAGGAATGAAAGGCTTAAATGTGAGAAGGGTGTGAAAAGGGAACAGAAATAATAGTATCAGCAGCTTTTGGCCTTCGCTGAAAGATTCCAGTGGTTTGCAAGTAGAAAAAGCTTATAGAAATGTGAGCCACTGATTCATTTCTGTGCATGTTACAGTGACATCTGGGATTGTAATGGAGCTCTGGGTCCTCTTGGACGAGACACCAGCTACACGGTTCCAGCAGAACTGCCCATCAGCACTCCGGAGATGGAGGGGGAAAGAGGTCTGGCCCAAGTCTGTTGGGGTCTGCCAGCCTGTTCTGCTCCCCTCTACAACCACATCCCTCTCTGCTTCTTCTGCCGAATGCAGTGGTTTCCCCCAGTCTAATGTAAGGGTACAGCTGTTTGGCCCAAGGGGAGTAAGGGGCTTTGTTTGTTCACGGGGTAATTTGCTTTATAGAATAAAACCTGGCAGAGATTTGTTTTTGGAGTGACTCTGGTATTCATCACCCCAAAATGGCAGGGAGCTTGGCCAGCCAACACTCATCCTACATAATTTCCTCTCCTCTGTGTATCTATGGGTTGTTCTCATATCCCTGGCTTGGCCACAGCTTTGCCACAGTACCCAGATTTAGCTTTTTAATCTTTCCTTGTAAATCACAGTTACAGAGGGAGGGGACACAGATACGGTGAATGACTTCTTCAACCTCTCCAGTGTGTCAGTGACACAGGAGAAGGAGTTAAAACCCTGGGGCCCTGACACCCATTTTCAGTTCCTACCACCAGATGTGATATGGAGAAGTTAAATGATTGTGCTAGAAATTTCATCTCGAGTGAGGCAGCTGGGAAGGGCTTAATACAGACATTCTGTCAAGGTTTAAGGCTCCAAATCTCGCTTGCTTCGAAGCACTTTCTCCTTGGAGGGCTTTAGTGGTCAAATTTCCCACTAGGTGCTGTAATTCTCTCTCAAACTGCTTGTTGAAGCTGTAAAATCACGGGGGTGGGTGGGGGAATCAAAGGGCTCTGGCACTGTGGCTTGCTTCCCAGCTCTGCCGGAGGTCTGGGAGCAGTGTGCTGGCCACCTGCCTGCGGGCACCCTCCGTGGAGCTGGGTGCACACCTAAACAAACCAGCCACAAGCATCTGCTGGGTGCATGAGATGGATTTTGTTCGTGGCCACTCACGTCAGTGTTTGTTTTCAGCAAGAGCCAGAGCGCAGGTTGGACTGTTAGTGGGAAAGGCAATTTGCAGCCATGTATTAGGAAGCAGCAGCGGGAAACAAGGGCTAAACCCGCCACAGGAGTTGGGATGCTTCATGGAGCCGAGTCTCCTCCCTTTCAGTGGTCAGTATCAACACTTCCACAGGGAATATGTTTGCCTGTTAGGTGACGGGTAACAGTCTGCAGTTAATACCCTGAAATTTAGAGACTGAGATCTTTCTGGGCAGTGATGATACCCCACCTGGACAATAGCCCATGGAGGGAGAGCCACAGGCCACATGGGCAGTAGTGAAGAAGTGCTCTTAGGTAGCTAGGAGGACCTGGGGACACTGACTCTCAACATTCCCACCAGCTGCTCAAGGAAGAGTGGGAACAGCTGGTCTGACACCTCATCAGAATGGGTTCAACAAAATGTGTGCTCCTCTCCTTCACAAAACCTTGCAAGAGGCAGCCAAGGCAAGAGGGGAAAGGCAAGGGGAGAGTGTGAAGTCCAGGAATGATGCCCAGGGGAACTGCTGACAGCTACAGACAGACCCCTGGGCAACCAGTCCAAACAGAGCCTGTGGTGCTGTCCATGTGCCTCTGGAACACATTCCTGCCTCCTGCTCTGCCTGAGACCCAGCCTCTGGCCATGCTGGGGAGTGCTTCAGGGAAGCTCGGGGCTCACAGAGGTCTGGGGCATAGCTGGCTTGGACAAACACTCAGAAAGTGTCCTCCTGAGTGACAATCTGCTTGTCCAAGTGTCTTGTCCACATTGGCATATCACCATTGATTGGGCTTGGTCTCTAATAGCAAACAAGGATCCTGAGTGCTGAAGAACTTGGTGCTCAGCACTGCCCCCTGAGCTGCCTTTGCAGAGAGGGAGCCTGGGCACCAAGCAGACAGTGCTGGCTGGTGCCCCCCAGCTCGCAGCCCTCGCTTGACCGTCACTGCCTCAGTCGGCTCCGATAATAGAAGAATCTGATACAATAATCCTGCATTCATCACATCCCATGTTGAGTGATTGGATTTTCTTTGACATATTGCCATGAAAATTGACCCGGCGCAGTGAGTGACAGCTCTTCAGGGGCAGGGGAGCAGTGAGCGAGGAACATACATTTACGTCTGGGCTTTTATTGCCAGGAGAGGCATTTGCTGGGGCAACTGGGGGGAAGGGATGGGAGCCAAGCCAGGAGACAGACCATGGGGAGGTTAAATCCCCTGCCCCAGATGCACCCCAGGAAGATCCTTAGGCCAGCACAGAACTAGTGATGGTAGTGGTGCTATAAGCAAAGGTCCTACGTGAGCCCTTAAGTGGACTCAAAGCCACTGGTGACCACAAAAGTAGTTGCCAGCCTGCACTGTATCACAGTTCCCATGTCTCTGAGTGAAACCAGCCTGCCCCTGTTCGTTTTGCCAGGTGATGCTCCTGAGGGATGGGAAGGTGCAGCCCCCTCTCCCATTGCTGAGCTGTTGGAGGTGCTGCCCCTTTTGTTGGCATCAGGAGAAGGAACGGCCAGGAAACACTGTAGCAGTCCCCATGGTCCTCACAACCCCTTCTACCAGTGCCCAGGGTAGGAAGTCGGACATGGTACAGGTCCCAGCTCTTCCCAGGTGGTACCTGCCAGATCTCCAATGATGCCTGGGTGCCTGGACATGGTCTCCAAGCCCACCCTGGGGGTCTGTCCCTCATCCCACTGCCTAGGACCCCTGTTAAGGGTGGTCCAGAGGCCTGGCTTTGTCCCCAGCAGGACTTTCTCAGAAGGACATCACATCTTGATGGGCTACTTTCATCTCACGTTGTAAACATAAAGCGGGCACAAAGGGAAAAAGCAGCCTTCATTTCCCCACCACCCTCCTCCTCAATCCCACCTGGGTACAAAGGAGTCTTTAATACCAAACTCAGGTGAAGGTGACAGCACTGTGCCTTCCCATGCCACACAGGACTTGTCTCCCAGTAAAAGCCACCTAGAAATAATGAATCCTCCTGGGCCGAGAGGCTTTCAAGCTCTCTGAGAAGGGAATGAAAGATTTCCTGATTTCACCCTCTCCCTCCCTGCTCTCCTGGCTTCTTGAAGTTAATGTTCTTAGCCCCAGACGTGACGGGCAAAGGGAAAAGATCCATGTGGTGACAGGGGACGATTGATCTCTTTTACATAGAACGATGCTCCAGTCCCAGTTTAATCCCCCCGCTCAAGGCAAATGGGATTCTTTGTCAATGGAAACTTCAAAAGCCCGGCCCTGCCGCGAGATGGACCTTCTTCTTTATCTGGTCTCTGTCAGTCACTCACTGTGTTTGCCTCCAAACAGCTAATCTGTCTTTTTAGCTGTCCTTCTCCCTCACAGGCGATGTGTTTGGGACCATTGAGTTATCTACACTGAGACCTGATGAGGAGGGAAAGGGAAGATAGCAGAGTCCAGCTGCTTTCATTTTGCTGGTGCCCTTTCCAGCTCCTTCAAGACATGCCAAGGCAGCCTCACACTCCATGGATTATCAGTGGTGGGTGGGTTTGGGGATTGCTTTCTGCTCTGCTTGTTCTTCATGGAGAAACAGTCAGGTCTCCACTCTCGTCCTAGTCTACCTGGGACAGGGCACGGGAGACAAGTATAGTCACACAGTAGACAAAGGTGTGGAGCACTATGGAGTATCACTGTGATTTCTGTTTTCCCTTGGACAGTTTGGGAAATTGTTGGGGTTATTTGGGATTCATCCCTACCTTTCAGGAACTCAGGTCAGCATGGTGGCTCCCCCCTGGTGGGGCAGACAAGGTGTTGATGTGCTTGGAAAGACATCCAGCCCCAAGGGGAAAACCTGGAGCTGAAATGTCAGTCTTTGTTTCTGACATCACATGCCAAAATATGCCCATAAGCTTCCAGAAAAAACAAGGGAGAATGAGACCTGAAGTTGATTCTAGTAAAACAAGCATGAAGAGACCTCCCATGAGAGATGCCCTGCACTTGTCTGGAAGCGGGGAGTCTCCCTTGCTTGGACTGTGCCACCAGAAGCATAGGGGAGCCTGGACCACTTGCCTTTGCCCCCCTTGGGGAGCACAGCATGGTTTTCAGAGGCTGTGCAATGCCCAGCTGCCCCTGCAGTGCTCCCTGCTGCCCACTTGCCTGCCCAAGCTCCAGTCCCTCCCGCTGCTGTGTCACATGAAGTCCAGCCAACAGTAATACCAATCAGTAAAAAGTGCTCTGTGCACATTGTATTTCTGCATTCTGAGCCAAGGGGGTGGGAGGTGGGTGCTGGGGAGGGGGATGTGTCTGAGACGGGGTCTTTTAGTGATCTGGGCTCCTCCTCGGGTGTGCTTTGCTCCTCTGAGGCAGGCCCAGTCCACTCTTCCAAAGCAGGCATATGGCTCTGGCTCCCACAACTCCCATACGTGATTTCCCAGGCTGAGCTCAGCCTGCGTGTGATCAGCTTTCATTAGCTGTCATTAGACACAATCTGGAGTCCCAGAGCCTGCCGAGTCCTTCAGCTCCACCATCCCTTGGCTGCAGGAGAGGAGGATCACAGAGCCCTGTGCAGGGACTTGGATGCTCCAGCCCAGTGGCTGAATGGGGACAGCAGCTTTCCCCAGTGCTGGCTGGCCCCAAAGCGTGGCCACCTTCCTGGGAGACACTGAGTAACAGGACATGAAGCTGGCTGGGAAGATGAGGGGGTGTAAAGAGCATTCCTTGGGGGGAAGAATGCTGAGTTGTGCTCACTTACCTTGGGGGTGCCCGCTGCCATGGCATCCTTCAGGATGGAGCTCTTGCTGCCAAGAGAGAAGACAATGGGGTCAGAATCACAAAACTAGTGGGCAAGGAGGGGAGTGCTTTGAGAGATCTCACAAGGTCAAACAGTAAAGCACATCGTTCCTCTTCACTGGACCAACGAGAGCCTCCTCACCCTGACTGGAGTGGCATGGTAAGGAGAGCAGTGCCAACTATTTCTCCAGCTGGAATAAAATGGCCCTATGAGTGCAAGTCCCCCAACCCAGCCACATGAATCAAATGCTGATTCTTCCCCTCCTTGGGGCTTGCACAGCTCCTCTCAGCCCTGGGGAAAAGCGGGGAGCACATCTGCAGGGACATAAGGAAGAAAGCCAGGGAGTGGAGAGTGGAGGTGGCGAGCCCTGTGTAGGGTCAGGAACAATGGAAAAAAGGAGGGAAGGAAAGAGAAGAGAATTAAATCAGCGTAAGAGCAAGGGAAAAAAGATCCCCTCAGCTTCAGCTGCACTGGGGAAGCAGCAGCTCTGCTGGAAGCTGGAGTGATTTGTTAATTCAGCTTGTTCCCCATTTAGCAGGGAAGGAGGTCCCTGCCACAGTGCTCCTCCTCGCCTGCCCTCGCCAGCGGGAGATGCTATAGATTTAATAACACCTTCCCCCCTCCAGACAGGTTAAACTTGAAACAATTACATATCAAAGCCGACATGGCGGGGAGGCCTGCACTGTAATTTTTTGGTTATTAAAGTAATCTCTCTCATGTAAATTCTCCTGCTAACATGCTGCAAACAGCATTAGGAAATAAATTATTTCCCCATGATTCGATTTGTCAATGCAAAGCACCTGCAGCAGGCAAAAGGCTCTTGAAATATGTTGCCAAGCCCAGTGCCTGTGCTTGTAAGCACACGCCGGTGGGGTGGCTGGCTCCCAGCTCCCCATAGCCCCAGGGAGATGATGGATGGGTGGGTGGGTGGAGGGGGAGGTTAGCGGAGGGGGGGGGGGGGGGGGGGGGGGGGGGGGGGGGGGGGGAATGGAATTGTGTTTAATAACAAAATTTGTATGCAAGCCTGCATCCCAGGCTAAGGATGAGTGATCGGCAGCCAGAAAGTATTAAAAAGCCTCGCTAAACAGATGCTGACAATAGAACAAGACATATCAAATCAGATCTACTTCAGAAGCATTAATATACACACGCACACACGCTCGCCCGCGCGCGCGCACCCGGCTCCGCACACCCGCGCTCCTTTCTTCTCAATCACAGCAATATGGGAGACATCAATAAATTTTTATGAGACTTTTAGAAGATCAACACGGTACTAGATGTGACAAAAAAGCAATGTGCCTGTCATGTTCGCTTTGTCGGGGACACTTTAGCCCCAGATGCCGAGCTGCAGTGCCAGCAGGGAGAAATTGAATTTGGCTGGCTTTAATCTGCCTTGATTTGGCAGATGGCTGGGTGTTATGAAATGAGCAGGGATGGAGGAAGGTGTTTTCTCCTGGGGCTATGGCCCCCCTCCTCTCCCACTGCCACTGCCTTCCACCCCCAGCCCTGAAACGGTGGAAATACACAGTTATCCATTGCCATCAGGTCACCCCAAATGCCACAGCTCCACTCCCAGCTACAGTTCCTGGAGACCACCAATGGATGGGCTGGGACATCATCTCCCACACAGCCCCACTTCCCTGAGGGGATGTGCTGCTGGATGCTCACTGGGGGTTACAGGATGCCCCTGTGGCCTGTCCCCCAACTCTGCCCCCTGCTCTCAGGAGGCAGCACAGAGCAGAATTAAGTCTCTGCTGCCCATTGAGATGCAGACCTTGCACCACCTCCAGCCTGTACAAGAACAAGCATGATGGGAAAGATTTCCATCCCCTCTACATCTCCACCACTACCTTGAACTTCTCAGTCGCACAAAGTGTGAAACAACTTTTATAATCCAAATGCCATGTTAAAAAACCAAACTCATTTCCTCCCTTTTCTTGTTAAAGGTGTTTAAAATTATTTCTTTTCAAGGGGAAGGGGAAGAACATCATTAAGTCCTCCTAAAAACGGCATTACCGCCAGGAAACTGCTGTTTTCAGAGTGAGAGTCTCTCTGGTCAGCCAAAACACCAAGCCTCTGCTTGGGACCGATAAGGAAGGGGACTGGTTTAGATAACTTGGCAGACTTTATTTTATTCTTCATCTGGAGGATTATTAATACCCCCCCCCTCCTTCTTGCAATGCAGCCCTACTCTATCACTAGACTCTTCAAGTTGTTTTTATTTATTTCCAGAGATGGGTCAGGAATGGGTGCAAGCCCTGGTCATCCAAGCACCTAGATCCTGCAATTTAATGGTGCCTTTCTCCACCCTGTTAAACAGCCCCCGAATTACGAGGGCTGCAGCCCCCCACGCCTCTTAAGGATGCTGGCAGCAGGCTGAGGATCGAAAGGCCGTCAGCAAAGAGAAACCTTCCCCTCCATAAACACCGCAGACAAATTAAAAATGGTAAAAGGGAAATCAAGACCTTTAAAGTTCAAACACTTTTCGGTGCCTTTTAAAGTTTTTTTGCTCTAGGCCCTTGCAGACAGCACAATCTTTGGAGACCTTGGGATTCTCTTTAATCACCCAGCCAGGCTGCAGTGGTCTGAAATGATTACACATTTACATAGTAATAACCCCAACACTCCTCACATTATTTCATGGCTAGCATATTTCCACTCGGCGAGTGATCCATGTGTTTTAAATTATAACCTGTACATAGGAAATTAGTTACTAAGTACGATATTCACGGGCTCGTCTGACACTTCTAATTAAGGTGATTTACACAGAATTATCTTATGAAATAAAAAAATGGTGTTTTGCTAGCTAATAAAATATAATTACTACCCGCTTTTCTAAGTTACAGTTAGTTTTAATCTATTTGGGGAATTGTTTATCTAGTTCATTACAGCCAAACAACTTCTTTCCCTTTTAGGCAACCCCCCCAAAGTACCAAAGAAAAGTAAGAAATGCCCTGGGAAGACCCAGCAACCTCCTTCTCTCTCTCCTGAAGACTTTGCATTTCCAAGTGATGCAAGGCTGCCAGAGGGCTCTACCCAGTGCTGCAGCTGCATCACCCATTAAGAGGAGCACCACGGCCAGGTCCCCACGTGCCCCAGGGTGCTCACTGGGGACCCATCACTTCTCTATATTAGGGCCCAACATCTTTAAGAGGAGCATTTACTCTCAACAAGGCCCTTCACAATGAAAGCAAGACTCAGGCTACACCATAGACATGCAGATGTCCTTTAATGCTAAGCATAGATTTGGTTAGGAGCATCCCCAGGTGCAAGTGGGAATCCCCTGGCATGTCCCTGATTGAGCCCCAAGGGGCTGTTCAGAACCAGTGCCTCAATAGTGATATCCCAAAGGGCAGCTCAGCAAGCCAAACATGTGCCTTCCTTACCCACAGTCTTGGGATTTTCTGTATCCCTGCCATGGTTACTGTGACCTTCAAGTCTATTTATTTTGTTATGGTCCTGCCTTTTGGGGTGTGCTTGCCATAGGGAAATAAAATAGGCAAGAAGCGAGGAGTGGTCTCTTTATCATCCCCATGCTGCTCCTTCCCACAGGGAAAAGCCAGGGCATGAGCTGAAGGTTAAGTGATCTGATTGTGTTTTACCATGAGCAAGGTGGTACTTTTCCTTTAAGCTTTTGCTCTTGTGAGCTGTTTTAGGAGTCTCAGCTTTCCTCCAAAAGAAAAGAGAAGTTTTCTGGGTGCCCAAGTCAGGCAACAAGCAGAAGGCCTGTTCCCCATGCGAGATGGCTCATCAGCTTCCAGCAGAGAACATGACCCAGGGTGTGCTTCTGGTGTCCTTAGCCCACCACACACAGGCAGGGCTCTTGCTGACCCCCCCAGCCCAGGCAGTTCTGGCAGATCCAAGGAAGCAGGATCAGGAGCTTTCCTCCCCTGCACCCACCTCAGCACACACACTGACTGCCAGCACCGGGGCATCACTGCAGCATCCTGGAGCAAGGGCAGGGAGGCTCTGCTGCAATTGTAGCTACAGCTTGAGTGAGGAGGCTGAGAGAGAAAGAAACGTTCTCAGAGAAGAAATCTGAGCACAGAGCAGTGATGGGACTTGCCTGAAGTCTCAGTGCAGCAACAATAAAGCCTAAAACACCTCTGATGATGTGCTCCAGCCCATCACAGCCGCCTGAGCTCCCCAAACATCTTCAAACAAGATTTCTGCAGAGCCCCCACCTAGAACAAGGCAGGATTTATGATGGGCATCCCTCAATGAAGGGCTCCAGACCTGGAATGGCAGCATTCCCCACATATAATTAATAACAACTGCAAGAGAAGAAGTTCCTTGAGCTCGGGCAGCTACAGCTGTTTGTGCTCATCCCTGAAGAGAAGTAAGGAGCAGGTAAGAGGACTGCTGCTGTGCCAGCTGGAGTCCTCCAGCTCTGCTACTCTTCCACAGAATCAGTCTCAGCCTGCTTGACAGGCACCAGCCACACGCAGCTCCCACATGAGATCCTGCAAAACCAAAAGATTTCTACAGGCTGCAGCCGATAGACGTATTTCTTAAAAAAAAAAAGAAATCCAGTGGAAACTTTATTTTTAGCTGCAGGACTCATGGGTTGAACATGCAGCCTTGGGATGGGAACCCTGGCAGCAGAGCAAGCCTCTAGCAAAGTTGTGTGGATGGCAAGGCCAGCTGTAGGGAAGCAGCTTTTGGGTAGAGAGGGAATTGGATTTTTGTGAACACCAGTTTAAATAGGAGGAAGTGTCTTCTGAAGCCTAAATAAGGAAATAAGAGTTTGATTTTTTTTTTTAAAGCTACACCTAGCTGCAGTTCACAGTCTCCAGCATGGCCAGATGACATCTGTGCCTGGGAAATTGGATTTTTAACCTGCTGTGGCTCCTCCACCAGCACCTGCATCCCATGACGGGGAAAGGGGTGAAGTGATGGTAAAAAATTACCAGAGAGGTTGCAGTCAGGACTAGAAACACTCTGCACATACAGTGCCAGACATGCTTCCCAAATGCTCCCCCAGTCAGTATTTGTGAGACCTCAGTG